ACGTAGTTGGACAACCAGTTGGAGCAAGTGGACAATGCGTTGGCTTGTACACGAGTACGCAAAGGATTGATTTCAGCAGGATACAACCAAGTCATACCAAGGAAACCAATGGCAAAGAAGGTGTTGAAAGTGAAAAGCGTCAAGGTAGCAACGTATCCTTCGGCTTCAGGGAGTACAATGTTGCCAATTTCATCTCGCCAACCAGCTGAAATACATCCTGCCAACATAGCCATAGAGCACATCATGCCAACAAGTCCCACAAACATAAGTTTACGACTATACAAGATTATAATGGCGTTACATGACATGTCGATAAGAAAAAAGAATGATTGAAATCAACTTACCGACCAAATCGTTCGACACAAAACATGGCAACGACAGCAGATAACCAATACTCGGTACCGTTTACAGCAGCCAAGAGACGTGACATGCCAGCATCAAAGCCGAGCCTATAGTGGATGTTGGTTGATCATTGAAAGGAGTAACCCCAATGCAGCAATACTACTTACGATTCCTCAAAGAGCATAGTTGCATAGTATGTGATAAGATTGATACCTGAAAAAAAGAGCCATATAAGTCAATGATGTTCGATTAACCCAATTCAAAAGCTTACCGCAGTATTGTTGCATAGCTTGAGCAATGACACCAAGCAAACAACGACGGAAATGTTGTACACTGCCATGCTTCCAGAATTCACGATAGGAGAACTTTTGACCTTCAAGAGCAAGAGTGTGTTCTAAGATAGCCATGTCTTCAGCAACTTGCTCACTATTGACATCGGCATCGTTCAAACGGGCTATCACTTCACGAGCTTCTTCCACACGGCCTTTTTTGAGCAACCAACGGGGTGAATCGGGAAGGATAAAGAGACCAGCAATGACAATAAGAGAAAAGAAGGATTGAAATGCAATAGGGAAACGCCACTGGATGCTGCCTTCCAAGAAATAGAATCCATAGTCGACCCAATAGGACACCATGATACCAAAGCCAATAAGCATGCCTTCATTCATGATAAGGAAACCACGGTCTTCGGGTTTGGCACATTCACTTTGCCATGTGGGAATAGTACTTGTCACCATGCCATTGCCGATGCCACCAAAGATACGACCAAAGCAAAGAGTTCCATAATCGTGTGCTGCTGCTTGGATAATAGTGCCACCCTGTTGTTTGTGAATGTGAGAATGAGTGAATGGTGTTGACAAAGAAAGAGAGTAACTTGTTGCTTACAATGACGATCCACGTGCCCCAAAATGTCGAACTGCGTCTACCCCAAGAGTCACCGTAAAATAAGACCAACACAGCACCCAAAAAGCAACCCTATCATGTGGAATAAAAGTGAGCCTCATATGCATATAGACAGCGTAGTAGATCCATCAAAGGAACTTACAATCTGATAAATGCTGACCATGTTCTATGGTAGAAGCGTATGAGTCTCTTATGAATACGTATGATATACTTGGGTCATTTACTCACTGATTGAAGCTCAGGCGTACCGGTGCATTGTCCTTCTTCATAGCATACTTCGTTTGCTGTTGAGAAAGGTGTGGCAGTTGGGAATTGTCGTTGGAAACTAGGAAGCTGAATATACATCCACGCATTAGACATGGCACATCATGTAAAATGCTAATACTTAAACCCCCACCCACAACAACACTTACCGTCAATAAAGAGCTCATGACTCCTTGGTCATAACCAAACATGCTATATTCGTATTCATTGGTATATAATAGAAGGGGCGTATGGTTGATGGGTACTTACAGGCTAAAGCATGATTAGTGTTCAATCCATCTTTGCATGTGTGAATAAACTTGTAGTACTTACAAGCCGGTGCCGGCAATGAAGCCAATGCCCAAATTTAGGAGCCGTCCATGTAGTTTTCGTCCATTGTGGATCTTGTATTCTGGGAGATCTGATAGCTTGTTTATGACCGTTCGATATAGTCCCATGATAGCATATGCAAACAATCGAATCAAGAAAAGAATACGATACAAATGAAGCACCCTTCTTATAAATGCAGAAATACGATCCTGAATCGCATTCTGCAAAAGGAATAGTGCTGCTTGTCTCCAGCCTCCGCAGGCAATTGTGTGCAACTTGGGACCAGAAATCGGAGTATGACGAGGTTTCAATGTAGAATCCTTGATGTGATGATGACTCTCAAGAAGCATAAGAAAGCTATAGAAACGTAATATTCAACTCGGGGTACCAGGGGATTTTTCAACCTATAGGATGAATACATCTCATAGGCTTTTAGTACTATGTTGCAGACCAAGATTTCTTAGCTTGTATGGTATGTACAAAGTCATCGTTGTTATGTTGTCGTAGGGATCATCATGTTACTCCAAGATGGCGATTTGGCAAATCTGTTCGCTCTCCCTCCATTTTGTAAGCTTTCCGTTTTTCCAACACAGGTACCTTCCAATTCTTTCACTCCTTTCACTTGCAGGGAACGTCATATAATAGTGTGACAGCCCCATATGGTAAACTTCTTCAGTTACCCGATAATGTGGGTCTTCTCAAGAATCTCGAGAAATGGTCGAAATATGAGAATGCTTACATGAAACAACCCCCCGGGGAACCCCACTAGGATAATGGATAATATGTATGCTTTTAGCCAATATCCTAAATATGCCCGCTTTTGGTATTCCTTGATCGACAAACATCATGCTGTCAAAAGTTTCTTTCAAGTCGGGGTAATCGGAGCCATCACCTCTTGTCAATACCACAAAAGTCAAACACTGCAAATATCGCGCTGTGCACGGACCTCCTTCCTTTCACATGATACATATGCATTCTTTCTACCATGCCCAACAACACGCATTTATGATCACCTGCTACATGAAAGCATGCTCCATTTACTGCGGCATGTATATTGGCGGATTGAGTTACACAACTAACAATGATAATGAACGACCTGCATAATGCACATTGTGATGACATGTTTATAGAATAATGGGTCAATTAGATATATTATAAAAGAGCAATACGTTATAGAAGAAAACAGAAAAGGAAGATAGTGTACAGGGTTGTAATGGTGATAAGAAGGTGAAAAAAGAAGAACTGAAAGTAAGATGAAAAATAAACAGCTCTATACTTTAAGCATCCACAGCGACCTTTTCAACATCCTGTGCTTTACCGCCATCCTGTGCTTTGTCGCCATCAGGTTGTGGTGCTTTTTCGATATCTTGTTGAGAACCTTCAGCACTGCTGCCATCATCAAAGTAACGGGCAAGCTCTCGCTCTAATGCAGCACCTTCCAACTTGGGCATCTTTTGAGCCATCTTGACAGG